GGCTGAGATTCCCTTTATTTGGGTAGAGAAAATAAAGTTTGCCCACAGTCAAGTACTGTGGGCACTGTCAGCTAACAGCCACAGCTGCTCTCATTTCCACCCGTCACATTCTCATTTAGGGCATGGGCAGGAGGGCTTTCTCATCTCCGGCAGAGGAGAGGTTAAAACAGTCACCACATAGACAGTCTAATGCAAACCGTACAGCCCTCCTATCCTACGGTCCAAACTCACATAAACATCTGTGAGTTCTGTACCACCATCCGAGGTGAAACACGTGTGTTCACTATAAAAGTGAACACACCTGGAAGACAGAAACATTGTAACAGGTAAAGGGCCACTAGAACTCAAAACATCCTGCCTGCTTTGGGAGATTGCCCAGGAACCCTGGGACCGACCCCACAGCTCTCCGACTGTTTACTAATTTATACACTAAGGACTCACATAGATTGAGTGTTTGCAGGTACTAGGCTAAGTGCTTCCCAAACCTGACACAGTTAATAGCTCCAATGTATAGATGGGGAAAACGGGGCACAGAGAGGCGAGGGGAACTCCCTGAAGGTCACATGCAGCTAAAGAGGGGCTGGGTCTGCATGACTATCCGATGCCACTCAAGAACCGTTGTTCATGCTTTCTCTCATGCAAGCGTTTTTACTTTGCTGTGGAATTACTCCCCATGCCTCAATCTATGGTTTCTCTGTATTTTATTAGTGCATCGTATAGTGTCAGCTAATATTTCTCCATTTTGGGACTGGAGAGATGGCTCAGTGGTTAGATCATTTGCTGTTCTTGCAGAGAGAGGTATCCAGATTTGGTTCCCAGCACCCACATAGCAGTTCATAGCTGTCTAACTCTAGTTCCAGGGGATCCAACACTCTCTTCTGACTCAAGGTGTGCACGTAGGGCACATACAGACATGCAGCCCAAACACCTATACACATAAAATAAAATTTACAAATCTGAAAAAAAGTCTCCATTTCAGTTTGGTCCAGATTAAGATGCTTCACAAAGTAAAACCTGTCCTGAGGACTGGAGAGATGGCTCAGTGGTTAAGAGTACTAACTGCTCTTCTAGAGGCCCTGGGTTCAATTCCCAGCCCTACATGGCAGCTCACAACTATCCATAACTCCAGTTCTAAGGGGATCTGACACCTTCTTCTGGCCTCTGTGGGCACTGAACACACAAGGCACACAGAGATGGCACACAGACATTCATGCAGCCAACACACCCATGCACATAAAATCAAAATAAATATTTTTTAAAATGTCTGGATTCTTTTTTTTTTTTTTTTTCTGTTGAGTCCAAGAACAGTTCTCTTGGGCCCATGACGTTTTGACTTAAATCTTACACTTTGATTTCCTAAGGAGTGTCGGCAGAATGGCACAATTTCTGATGTCTTCATGCTCTTGCAGGTGAGGAACGCTGAAGCCGTGGAGACTGCAGCGGCTGGACCGTGAGACAGCTCACACAATGTGTTAAGGATTTTGCATTCCATCCCGACACCCACTACGTTCCCAAGGGCTTTGTGCTGTGATGGAGCAGTGGGGCGGTCCCCAGGTGGAGAGAGTAATGGGTGCTGAGGAGAACTGGAGGTGGCGGCAGCGGGCGAGGGGGGCATAGATTACGGGGCTTTTCTATAAATCTAGCTAACAGATTGCTAGTTGCTAACCAGGGAGATGGAAAACATTGGACAGAACCAGTGGCGGGGTGGGTGACAAGAAGTCCTGGGGAGAAGAGCTGGCTTCTAGTTTGGGGGACAGGAAAGTTCAAACTACAAAGTGAACGGGGAGGGAGAAAAGACTTGGTGAGTAAAGCCTGAAATTCATGTTTCAGCAGGTTGAGTAGAGGTGGAATGTGGGAGTCTGCTTAGAAGAGTCACTGCTCAGAAAGTCTAAGAATGGGGAGACTGTGGATGGACACGTGTGCTGCTGGGAGTGTGTGAAGGCCGAAGAAATGTAGGACAGAGCCTTGAGAGAAACCATTTAAGAGAGGGTGAGCGAGGTATGGTAGTGCACACCCGTAGTCCAAGCACCTCAGAAGGCCGAAGCAGGAGGATTGCTGAGTTTGACCCGCCTGGTAAGACTGCCTCAAAACAAGCAAAGGAATGAACAAAAGTGGCAGGTGAGTCTAAAAAAGGGTCTGGGACATGCTCAGAAAGTACTCCAGCAACATCTGTTAAGAGGACATGGGCAACAGGATCTGACCTTAGGGACAGCCTGGGTAGCAGGACTAGATGTCTGGGGACAGTAGTGACGCTGGAGGCAGTGTGGGCGGAACAGCAGAGCCAGACTTCACCAGTGACTTAACAGGCCAGCAACTGGTCACATGTTTAGATTATGAAATTAAGGCCTAACGAGGAGGCAAGTTGATGCTAAGGGGTTCAGAGCTTTAGAGAGCTGGATAGCTAACTACCTGGAGCTACAGCCACCCCCATACCTAACCTTTCCTCTTTTAGTTTGGAGAGATGCAAGCTCTTAATCCTAAATACTGAAGGGAAGGCATAGAGAAGAGCAAAAGGCAAGGGGTGTGCTCAGAGGAAACAGGGTCCACGCTGGTGGGTGGAGGCAGCCACCTACCTCACCAGGAGGTGAAGTCAGCTGAGCAGCACAGGAAGAGGCAGATGTGGGGAGGAAGGCCAGCGTGGGAGTGGCTGGAGGGTGGAGCTCTGGTCTCAGTCTGCAGTCAGTGGAGCAGAACCCGAGGCCCCCTGCTGTAGGCAGGTGGCGGAAGCTGGTAAAGGATCCAGAGAACTGCTTGACTACTGAGGACCACGTGTGGCTGGAGGCTGTGGGTTTACTACAGTGGATTCTTCATTGGCCCATTTTCTCTGTGTAAATTAGCTGCCAGGAAGAGGGGCAGAGTGAAAGTCGACATTGGATTCTATTCTTAGCATCCCCAAATCTGAGGCGCTTTGGTCCCTACAAAGGAATACCTATTGCCACACAGGCTTTACTTACTATTTAATCTGTGTACTTTATAAACCTACTTAAGCAAAAACTGAATACAAAAACACACAGCCAACAAATCAGATTCTATACATTTTACAAGTCAAATCACTTAAACATTGATTACAAATTCAATTAAATCCTGAATATTTTAGTGGAATCACACATCTAATTGGTCAGCTCCTTTAAGAGCTTTGAACATTTTGATAAAGCAAACACATCACTACAAGCATTATACAAGTTTTGTGTGTGTGTGCATGTGTGACAGAGTCTAGGTAGCCCAGGCTAGCCTTCAACTTCAGGTCTTCCTGCTTCTGCTTCTCAAGTCCCCAGTTTACAGGTGTGTACCATCACACTAGGCTGGATTGTCCAGGTTTTTTAAAAAATTTATTCTTATTTTATGTGCATTGGTGTTTTGCCTGCATGTACATCTGTGTGAGGGTGTCAGATCTTGGAGTTACAAACAGTTGTGAGCTGCCATGTGGGTGCTGGGAATTGAACCCAGGTCCTCTGGAAGAGCAGCCAGTGCTCTTAACCACTGAGTCATTTCTCTAGCCCAGATTGTCCAGTTTTAAACCTCCACTCTCACCATAATAAAAACTAGTTTGTAGATTATGAAATGGATACTATCTCACTCAGACCAAGTTTTGAATTTGGTCTTCAAATCAAAAAAGGAAAAAAAAAAAAAAAAGAGGGACATACAGCCGTGTGGCCTGAAGATAAGCCATCTATCTCTGGGCCAAAAGAAAAGAGGGCATTCCCTCCATGCCAAGGAGTTCTGGATGGGCAGTTAGTGGATTCTTGGTTGGGTAGGAACTGATTTACCTTCTAAAATGATTAAAACCTGAGTGTCTCTCTCTCTGTGTGTCTCTGTCTCTGTCTCTCTCTGTCTCTGTCTCTCTCTGTCTCTGTCTCTCTCTGTCTCTCTCTGTCTCTCTGTCTCTCTCTCTGTCTCTCTCTCTCTCTGTGTGTGTATCAGGGAGCTGGAGAGATGGCTTAGTGGTTAAGAGCCCTGGTGTGCTGTGGGATGGTCTGTATGTCAAATATGTTGCTGATTGGTCAATAAATAAATCACTGATTGGCCCGTGGCCAGGCAGGAAGTATAGGCGGGACAAGGAGGAGAATAGAGCTGGGAAGTGGAAGGCTGAGTCAGAGAGACACTGCCAGCCGCCATGATGAGAAACAGCATGTGAAGATGCCGGTAAGCCACGAGCCATGTGGCAAGGTATAGATTAATGGAAATGGATTAATTTCAGCTGTAAGAACAGTTAGCAAGAAGCCTGCCATGGCCATACAGTTTGTAACCAATATAAGTCTCTGTGTTTACTTGGTCGGGTCTGAGCGGCTGTGGGACTGGCAGGTGAGAGAGATTTGTCCTGACTGTGGGCCAGGCAGGAAAACTCTAGCTACACTGGTGCTCTTGCAGAGGATCCAGCTCACATTACTCATGGTAGCTCACTGCTGGCTCTAACTCCAGTCTTAAGGGATCTGACAAGCTTGTCTATCCTCTGAGAGAACTGTATGTATGTGGTACAAAGACAAAACAGCCATACAAGTAAAGTAAAAATAAACTTCTGTATCCCAGAATCTAATCAATATTTATATGTACAATTCAGCTATCATTTGGCTTAAAAAGGCTTATTGGGAAATGTTATCATTTATACTATTTTCTACAGAGAAAATATTTTACTGTTTAAAATAACCCTGGACTTTTGAATTATAACCTGTTTTTATGTTCGGGCTATCTGAGTATTATTTCTCCTGCAGTTGTACATAAAATGTTTTTACATTAAAAAAGGGACAGATACTATAGAATTGTATTACATGAAATATATAGAATATACAAATTCATAGAGACAGAAAGATTAGACCTTATCTCAAGATAGAGAAGAAAAGAATATAGAGCAATGATTTCCTAAGTACAGAATCTCTGTTTTGTGTGATGGAAAAACCCCACAAATGGACAGGACATAATATCATGAATGTAATAAATCAATACAATTAATATAATTAATGAATATCATAAATATAATTATTGAATGAACACTGCAAATGTAATCAATGAATACCACAAATGTAATTAATATCATGAGTGTAATTAATGAATATCATGAGTATAATTAAAAAATAAAAATAAATAAATAAACTAAAAAAAACCCAAAAAAACCTATGTTGGTTTTTTATGTTGGGTATCTCAGACTCACATCTTTCCACGCAATGGGTGAACTGTGCCAAGTGTTTTTCTCAACATTCAAAGTCTGTGGTATGCAGATATCTCAGAGCCTATGTGAGATGTCACCAAGACATCTCAGTATGCTGTTACATGGAATGGGGACTTTGCATATGCATGCAGGTGGGGACCTTAAAATAGAAAGATTATTATGTATATTCTGGGAGGGTCTAGTCTAAGCACTGAATCCTCAAACTCCAAGAACTTTTCCCATGGAAGTCAGAAACATGTAGCAGCTATAGGTCGGGGAGAGTCAAAGGGTGGGGCTGGGCCTGCAGCTTTTGGCTAGAAAACAGGATACTGGGGACATCAGTGCTACAATCTAAGGAGCCGCATTCTATGAGTTTGGAAGCGGCTTCTTCCATTCTAGTGAGGAAGACCGCTGCCGTCCACCTTATTTTTGACTTTGTGAAACCTCAATCAGAGAATAGTCACACTCTGCAAGACAACTGACATACAGAAACTGTGATAAATAAACAGCATCTTAAACCAGTTGGTGTTTACAAGCTGATCTAGCCTATTGTATTTTGAAAATCTTCCAATGTCCAACTACTCTTCTTTCTTACTGTAAGACTCCTGACTTTGAGCTGGACACAGTTGCCTAGAATAAAGTCTATGGGCTATGGAGATGGCCCTGTGGTTAGAACACTTGCTGTGTGAGCCTGATAACTTGAGTTCACATCCTTAGAATCCACATACAAGCTGGCCATAACCCAGGCATCTGTAATCCTTGTCTCCTAGGGGAAGACAGAATTCCAGAAGCTTCCAGAGGAACTAGCCTGATGTACACAGTAATACATTAGAATCACTGTCTCAGACATGGTGGGAGGTGAGGACCAACATCCAAGGCTGTCCTCTGACTCTCTTTCTCTCTCTCTGTCTCTGTCTCTGTCTCTCTCTCTCTGTCTCTGTCTCTCTCTGTCTCTCTCTCTGTCTCTGTCTCTTTCTGTCTCTGTCTCTCTGTCTCTCTCTCTGTCTCTCTGTCTCTGTCTCTTTCTGTCTCTGTCTCTTTCTGTCTCTGTCTCTCTGTCTCTCTGTCTCTGTCTCTGTCTCTGTCTCTGTCTCTCTCTCTCTCTCTGTCTCTCTCTCTCTCTGTCTCTGTCTCTCTCTCTGTCTCGCTCACACACACACACACACACACACAGAGAAAATACTACAAAAAGGTAAGTTTGTTTCCTAGTCTGTCCTGGCTTGGTGTGGCCTAGTGTGATTACATTCTAGCAATGAAATGTAACCAGAAATGGTATATGCAGCTATCAGAAAACCTTTCAAGGAAGGAGTCCTGCCCTTTCTTCTCTCCTTCTATCCAGCACTGCTGGGCTGATGTAATTGCTGAAGCTCAAGAAGCCATCTTGGGCCACGAGGTGTCAGGCCAAGGACGCCAGAACTGCAGAAGGGGAGCCTGGGCTTTTGCGATCATGAGCGGCTGTTCATCCTGGACTCGTCCATGTGAGACAGAATGATTTCTTATCTTGTTTAAATTATTCTTTCTGCTCACAAAGTATGGGCAAATGCTGAAAAAAATGCTCCCCCACCTCTTTCTCACCCACTCCCCACCCTGTACCCCAGTGCAGGAGTTCAATCCTGGTGCTTCATGTACATTAGCGCTGCCCCTGAGCTATACCGCCCCCTCTCAGTCCTGGTATTTGTTTAACTTGAGTACTATTATAGCCTTTTAAAAATTTGACTGTTATTCTGTTTGAATTTATTTTCTCTTCATCATGCCATATGTGCTCCAATCCTGCTCCAAACTAAAGTGAGAAGTATAGCGTCTCACCGACCACAGTTCTCCAGATAGACCCATTCATGCTGGACCATGGGATGAAGAGAGTTTCTGATGCTGGAGGAAGAGGGATGAACCATGGACTCCTGGGTACCAGGAAACTTAAGAAGAACGAGACAGTATGGATGGAGGTAAGAGTGGTGCTACGGACAGGCTGCGGGTACAGGGAAGTTAGCTGAGACGCAGCAGGAGGAAGAGAGGTGCCAACAAGAGTGGGGAGTGACTGAAACTCAGATTCCAAAGGTGGGGCAGTTCTAGGAGGTGGCCAAGAGGACACATGGTCACTGATGTGTTGTTCTATGGCTCATATGTGACCTTTGAGCATGCCTCCAGCTCTGTATACCTGCTCTGGTTTCACCTGTTGGTCAGAGCAAACACACACACCCACACACCCACATACACCCCCACACACACCCACACATGCCTCGGATCAGATGAGGGTCAGAGTCCATTGGGACCTGGCACAGATGGATGGCAGGATTCCTGCCTGCTGACTGTCCCAGTTTATCTGCAGCATGTTTATCATGTTCAGGGTAGGCACATGTCCCCATCCCATCTCTCCAGCTATGGATGCTCTGTGGCCCTCCCCGCACTTTTTATGGTTGGGCTGTCAGCTCCTGTTCACACGGTGCTGGCTGAGCTCTCTCAAGCTGACTCCTGACAGGATGGAGTCTGCAGGTACGATGCGGCTGGTCCATCTGGGCCCCTGTGGGAGCCTGTCAAGCTTACCTGTGCCACCTGTCACCAAATAGCACTGAGCGGGAAGCTGGGGTGGAGAACAGGAGGAGTGGAGCCTGTGGAGTAGTGTCAGCTTCCCTCTTGCCAAATCCTGCTTTGCCAAAGCCAGAACTGAGGCAGGAGAGGGGCAGCAGGAGGCTGGGAGGGCAACTGGTGTGGTAATGGTGAGGAGTGTTCTGTCTAGAGAGTCCATAGCTTATAGCTCTTGTCTACTCTTAGCCTTGGGTGTTTGGCACAGGATCTCATGCAAGGAGGTGGGCTATAGGCAGCCTGAGGGGGCCTTTCTCTTGCTCCAAAGATGCTTGTTTCTGGGGCAGGGCAGGGCAGAGCAGGGCAGGGTGGCCAGACACCAGATATCTGTCTTTTAAAGGCTTGGGTTCTCAGAGTGGGAAGATGAGGAAGCCAGAGAAGCTTGAATACTTCCAGCCACCCAGGAGATTCCCCCGTCGAAGGCGCAGGGACACACGGTCCCCAGGGTCCAGGGGAAGCAGCACAGAGCTTGTGGCTGCCTCTCGGGTCACATCAGGGTCATTGGCAAAGGCTGAGACGACCGGCCATGTATTCAACATCAGGCTCACCTAGGGAGGGGAGGGAGCTCAGTTAGGATCTATTTCCTAGCCCTTAGCTCAGGATCCTCATCTTCCCAAGGGCTTCCTTTTGGGAACCAGAGGCTTAATGGGCTCTCCTGTGAGGGCTGAGGGGTGGTCCATGTTGGGCTCTGCACATCTGCCATACCCTGCTAGCCAGGACCTTTCCTCCCTTGCTCATGGTCCCTAGGATACAGGTCAACAGAAGGGCTACCCAGGGATGTGCTGCATTCTACTTATGACCCTCCCTTCCCCCCGGAGATGGGGCTGGCCCTCTGTTCACCTGGACAGTCTGGCGGTTGTACACCTTTACCACATGGAATCGGAAGCTGTAGACTCCACGGACAGGGGCCACGAAGCATCCCGAGGTCCGATCAAAGCCACCACCCTCATTCACCAGCACCTGAGGGAAGCAGATCCTATTGAGTGGGATTCAGGGACATCACTGGGGGTGGCGTTTGTGCAATGAGTAAGGGAAAAGGGGGTGGCAAGCAGGTGTGACAGGAATTTGTGCATTCAAAAATTATGAGGCACGGCTAAGACAGGTTGTGTGTGTATGAGTGAAAGGAGGCAAACAGTTGGTGGCCATCGTAGGTGAAGGGATATGGTTCTCTTGAAGGCTGAGGGATGCAGAGTGGGCTTGGACAGGAGAGCCCAGGTCCTGGCAGGTCCTCTGGACAGGGGCAAGGGTATTACCTGGTCGAAGTAGATGGCACCGGTGGTGCCGTTGCCGGTTTCCCCTGCTGGTTCATGGTGATGGCTTCGGACTGCAGCAAATGCCACTCGTCCTGGGGGTGCCTCTCCCAGGGCTGCTCCTCCAGGTCCCCCCGCAGCAGGTCGGCCTGGCTCACAGACCACCAGGCACTCGCCCTCCAGCAGGACAGGCTCTGACCCTTCTTGAGCCCACCCAGCCCCTAGGGTCAGAAGCACCAGGGCCAAGGGCAGCTTGGGGTTGTGCCGGTTGGTGGCCATCACGGCTCGGTACCTCTGTAACTCTCAGCTTTCCTTGTCTTCTGCTCTCCCTCCTCTGCTTCAGGCTTCCAGTACCTCCTGCCCTGCTCCTCTGTCCTCCCTATGGGTCTGTCACCGAGTGTGGGCACCTCCTTCCCTCTGTTTGTGTCCCACAGCTCTGCCTGGCCTCTCCTTACTATCACTGCAGTTCCCTCCTCCTCGGCAGATCACGGAGTGACAGCAGTTGGGCTCTGAGAGGGAGAACAGGGATAGAGACAGGACACGAGGGCTCCAGCCAGATTCTGTGGCAGGGAGGCGGGACAGTGGGCGCCCCAGGGAGGCAACCCCCCTCTGTGTGTGTGTGTGTGTGTGTGTGTGTGTGTGTGTGTGTGTGTGTGTGTGTGTGTGTGTGTACGCTAGTCGAAGTTTCTGCAGCTCCTTCCTCATCCTCTCCTTTACAGAACTCCTCACGGTCTTTTCCGTGGAATCTCTCTTTTTGTTGGAAGGCGCGTCCTCCTCTTCCCCACAATCTACTTGGTGAAAGTGCTTGTGCCAAGGGCAGTATTCTCTTGTGACTCTGGACCAGTCACTTGCCCTCTTGGCACCTTCGACTGCGCAGAACACGCTGGGACCCCCACGAAGGGGAGGCGAGCGGGAGAGTTGGCGGGAGGCGTTGAGGGGTGGGATGGAGGAGTGTTGGCGACCCGCTAGGCCCCGCAGGGGACGTGGAGGGCGGGCTGGTCGGCCGCAGGGCAGCAGGCGGAGCCCGGGAGGGAGGGAGGGAGGGAGGACGGGCGGGCGGGCGGGCGGGCGCGGGAAGGAGCACGCAGCGCTGCCCTGAGCCCCAAGCCAGCGCAGCCCTGGCGGGGGAGGAGCCGGGCTGACTCCGCCCCAGGCCGGGAAGTGAGTCCAAAAACAGAACGCGATGATGTTGACGAGACAAGGCTAGGTAGGGTGAGGAAGCCGGGAGGCCCTCCCAGATCGCCCCCAGCCCCAGATCCCTGGGGCGCGGGAGGAGCGCGGGGGGCCCCCGGGCACCCAGAAGAGCAGGAGGAACTCGCGGCTTGGGCGGTAGGCGCGCCCCTTCCCGGCGCTGGGGAGCTGGAAGCCGCGGCCGGAGGGTGGTCGGGCTGGGGACGGCCACCACGGCCGTCGGCGGGAGGGCGGGCCTGCTCCCCGGCCCTGGGTGGGACGCTTGGCGGTGGACGTCTCCGAGAAGGGGGGCGGGGAGGTGGGCGTGGCTAGAGAAAGAACATGGCAGACAAGGGCACCCCCTCCCAGGACTACGTACACAGTTAGAGCCTCCGGCGAGTATTCGTCTCCAAAGAGGCTCTCTTCTACTCAGAAATTGCAGAGAGCTCCGAGCTTTGGGAATTTCCCCTCACCCACTCACTTCTTATGACGCTCAGAATGAGCTGCAGGCCGCTTCACCCTTCCCCTCTCGGGGCGGTGGTCATCGGTGTTCTCAGGCCAGTCGCCCATCCCAGAGAGCCTTGTTTACGGAGGACTTCCTCTCTGGGAGGGGCCTGTGTACAGATCATTTTCTATCCTCTCCACCCGCGAGGTGGACCTGCCACCTCCTGGGGTTGTTTACCGGGGCTGTAACTAGGTGCGACCGACCTGTTGATTGTTGGGTGTATGTAGGCCGCGTGATTAGGATTTGGGTTGAAGAGAGACGGAGACTGAGCTTGCCTCTGCCCTTCCAGGACCCCAGGAAGAAGCCATGTCTACTTGGGGGTTTGCTTCCCCGACTCCTGACCGCTTTGCGGTGTCTGCGGTCGCAGAGGACAAGGTTCGGGAGCAGCAGGCTCGCGTGGAGCGTATCTTCAGCGTGGGAATGAGCGTCCTTTCCAAAGACTGCCCAGAGAACCCTCATATCTGGCTGCAGCTTGAGGGCCCCAAGGGAAATGTCTGCAGAGCCAAGGTGAACTCCTTTTCCAGCTCCTCTTAGGAACCTGCCCCTCCCCTAGGCAGAATCGGAGGAGGGGTTGGGGAGGATCTCAGCCTCTTTGCTGTCTTACTGACTGCCTCTGACCTGAGCTTTGAGGAACTCGGCAATTCTTTTTATTTAGAATTTTGGTTTCACTTCTGCCCAGATGGTCCAGGTACTGCAGGCATTTGGAAACCAATTACTTTGTGCTCTTGGGGATAGTAGAGTAATCCCATTGTACAGGTAGTCCTTGCCAAGGAATTCACTGGGAGTGGGTGTAGGAGGGGGCTGGCCACATTGCTTTCTTTGGCCTCGAGGAGAACTTGACAGCCTTGTGTCTACAGTGGAAATAATAACAGCAGCTACTTGGATGATGCAAGCCCTTGGGGCTCAGGGAGAACAATGAACCTGAGGGGATGGCTTCTAGAAGTTTCCTCTCTGACCTTCCCATCTAGGAATACCTGAAGGGGCTCTGCAGCCCAGAACTGCAGAGTGAAATCCACTTCCCACCCAGACTGCACTGCGTCTTCCAGGGAGCCCAAGGCCTCTTCCTTGACTGCCTGTCCTGGAGCACGTCTGCCCACCTGGTGCCCCTGGCTCCTGGCTCTCTGATGATCAGTGGCCTCACTGAGGCATTTGTGATGGCTCAGAGCCGGGTGGAGGAGTTAATGCAGCGGCTGAGCTGGGATCTTCAGCTGCAGTCTTGTCCTGGAGCCTCTGCCAGTGCTGGAGTGCTGAGAGACTTCTCTGCCCTGCTGCAGACTAGGGTGGATGCCTACACAGAGGCCCTGCTGCAGCTGCCCCTGGCTGTCCAGGAGGAGCTCCTAAGCCTGGTACAGGAGGCATCCAGAGAGCAGGGGAGTCCAGGCCTGTTGAGTGCTCAGTTCCAGGGAGTTAGGGCTCCCTTGAATGAAGGTGGGGAATCCCCGGGCACTGGAGTGGTGGGGTGGGGAGAGTCAAGGGCAGCAAGAGGAGAAAGTCACACTGTGGAGAAGAGGGGAAGGAAACAGGATGGTGTCAGGGACATGAATCCAGGGCGGAAGGAGCCGCCTGGGGACCACGTCTGGGAGAGAGGAGTGGCTTTTAAGTCGCAACCAGCAGGCGCAGGAGCAGAAGAGGCAGCAGCACCCTTGAAGGGAAAGGCCTCGGGGAAGGAGCAAAGAGGAGGGTTCCCTATGCAGGATGAACCTTCCGGTGCCCATGTGCCCTCTCAGAGGGCAGCTCCAACTCGGGGAGCCTCTCTCCTCCAGCGGCTCCATAATGGGAATACCTCACCTCCAAGAGTACCTAGCCCCCCACCTGCGCCGGAACCCCCGTGGCCCTGTGGAGACCGAGATCGGGGAGACAGGGGAGACAAGCAACAGGCTGGGGCTCGAAGTCGAGGGTCTCCATGGAAACGAGGCACTCGAGGGGGCAACTTGGTGACTGGCACGCAGCGGTTCCAGGAAGCCTTACAGGATCCTTTCACCCTGTGCCTTGCCAATGTGCCCGGCCAGCCAGATCTCCGTCACATTGTCATTGATGGCAGCAACGTGGCCATGGTGTAAGTAGCTGGTGGGGCGGAGGTCTGAGGAGGGAGGATGAGCCGGGCATCTTTGTCTCTTCTGCAGACATCTGTCCTCTGGGTCCTGAGTGTTGACCCATTCCGTTGCAGGCACGGCCTCCAGCACTACTTTTCAAGCCGAGGCATTGCTCTTGCTGTGCAGTACTTCTGGGATCGTGGGCACCGTGACATAACCGTCTTTGTGCCGCAGTGGCGCTTCAGTAAGGATTCCAAGGTCAGAGGTAAGTTGGGTCTGGCCACCTGTGTCCTGGGTGAGACTGTGCCTACCTCGAGGAGAACCCTGTTGTATCTTGTTCTGTAGAGAGTCACTTCCTGCAGAAGCTGTACTCACTGAGTCTGCTTTCCCTGACACCCTCACGAGTCATGGATGGCAAGAGGATTTCTTCCTACGATGACAGGTATTTGCTCCTCCCCTGGCCCCAAGTTTGACATTTAAGGAGTCTAGTGGGACTTTGAGTAGGAGCGAGATGCTCCTGACTTCTGTCTTCCAGCCTCAGTAGGGGAGTTAGTTTCCGTGGGACCTAAGATGGGAGAGGCAAATCAGCTCTGCAGGTGACGTGAGACCGACTGAGGACAACTCTGTTTGCCTGCTCATCACTCACCTTGTATTTACTGTCTAGAGAATGCCGGTGTAACAGAGAGCTAGGGAAGCTGGTGACGTGAATGGCTGGCAGAATTTCCAAACATGTAGAGAAACTCTTCGAACATTCTGGGAAAGGAGAGTAAACCTTCCAAATAAATAGAATGCAGAAAGTCTTTGAATACTAGGACTGCCCAGAACACTGCTGAGTGAGAGATCACCAGACGCAGAATGGAACAGGATGTCAGAACTAGGGCTCCAGGTTTCATTACTGATCTGCTTTCCATGGCCTCGGCCCCACCTCTTAGTGAATCAACCTCTTTGTCTCAGGATCCTTCTCCATTCATTCACCCTCCTTGTGAATATCAAAAGAAGATAAGGTATGTGCTTGCCTCATTCCTGCTGCTAAGCAAGAGTCTAGCGACATTCCCTCTTAACATTGCATGGGCCCAGTTAAGTGTTGCATGAAGCTGGGTGTGGTAGTCACGCCTGTAATCCCAGCACATGAAAGATTGAGGCAGGATAATCCCTATGAATTTGAGGCCAGCATGAGCTACAAAGTATGTTCCAGACTAGCCTGGACTACAAAATGAGACCCTGTCTCAATAAACTAAAAAGAAAAAAGAAAGGAAAAAAGAGATGCATGAGATACCACTATTTACAGAGGTAGATACAAAGGGTAAGTGATTAACTCCTTGGACAAAAGTTACCATATAGGCTGAACGGAAATCATAGGGTGTACTACTGCTACACTTGTACACACATGGTGTGGAAATACATACATTTTAAAGCTGATTAACTTTTAAATTTTCCTAATGTTTGTGTAAAATAAAAAAATCTTTTTATGTGTAGTAGTGTTTTGCCTGTATGTATGGATGTGCACTATGTGCATGCCTGGTGTCCACAGAGTCCAGAAAGTTAAAAAAAAACTTTAAGGAGGGTTTATTTTAGCTCCTAGGTCCAGGTTATAATCCATTATAGCTGGGAAGTCACAGTGTAGGAACTTACGGGAGCTGGTCACATCACATCCATAACCAGGACCAGAGAGCACCAGAGCATACATGATAGTGCTCACCTTGCTTCCTCTAGTCGTGGGGTCCAGAATCCCCTGCCTAGGGAATGGTGCCACTCACAGTGGTTGGGTCTTTCCACTCTAATTAACCACATTCTTACAAACCACCCGATCTAGACGATCCCTCAGTGTGAACTCTTCTCAGGTGATTGTATTAAGTTCACAATTAAAAACTAACCAGCTTAGTTGGTGTGTTTTATCTTTCCAGACATTTAACTTTTACTCCTTAGAAGTAAATAGTATTTTACAAAAGATACTTAACTTTCTTCTTGTCTTAGATTTCTGATACTGTGATAATTACCGTGATCCAAAGAAACTTGGGAGGAGGGGGTTTATGTATCTTAAAAGTTTCAGGTAATAGTCCATCTCTGATTGGAGACCACAGAGGAATGCTACTTACTGGCTTGCTCAGTTCACTTTCTAGTACCACCCAGGGCCCCCAGCCTAGTGGGGGCAATGCCTCCAGTGGGCCAGACCTTCCTCTGTCAATTAGCAATCAAGAAAATGTCCCACACCCTTGCCTACAGGCAGTCTAATGGAGTCATTTTCTCAATCGAGGGTCCCCTTCCCAGATAACTGTATATTGTATCAAGTTGACAGAAAACCAACCA